TTTAACTGTTAAAATATCAGCTAAATATGCATTTTTGATAAAAAAGAGTTACTTAAAAAGAAAACACTGTAATTTAAAATATCACAATCCAAATCAAATAAACTGTTTTTACCAAAGTTAAAGTGTCAAATTTGAGAGATTAATGCATTTTGCTAAACCAGAACCTAGGCCTGATGCACCTTCATCACCAATTTAATTGTGACTTTTTAAATATTGAAGAAAGAATATATCATTAAATAGTTAATTAGAAGGATAAATGAAGAAAAAATATGAAATAATAAGATTAATTAATAATAATAGCAAAAGTTTAATATAAATGATGAGCTTAATTAACAAAAAAAAAAAAAAAAGCATCACGATTATAAGAAAAAGAAAAAAGGGCTTTATTGTTTTTAATTAGTTTTTATAATTAAAATGATCACAATCCAAAATAAATAAACAGTTTTTACTAAAGTTCAAGTGTCAAATTTGAGAGATTAATGCATTTTGCTAAACCAGAACCTAGGCCTGATGCTCCTTCATTATTAATTTAATTTTAACTTTTTAAATATTGAAGAATAAATATATCATTAAATAGTTAATTAGAAGGAAAAAATGAAGAAAAAATATGAAATAATAAGATTAATTAATAATAATAGCAAAAGTTTAATATAAATGATGAGCTTAATTAACAAAAAAAAACAACACGATAATAAGAAAAAGAAAAAAGGGCTTTATTGTTTTTAATTAGTTTTTATAATTAAAATTATCACAATCCAAAACAAATAAACTGTTTTTACGAAAGGTAAAGTGTCAAATTTGAGAGATTAATGCATTTTGCTAAACCAGAACCTAGGTCTGATGCTCCTTCATCAATTTAATTTTAACTTTTTAAATATTGAAGAATAAATATATCATTAAATAGTTAATTAGAAGGAAAAAATGAAGAAAAAATATGAAATAATAAGATTAATTAATAATAATAACAAAAGTTTAATATAAATGATGAGCTTAATTAACAAAAAAAAACAACAAGATAATAAGAAAAAGAAAAAAGGGCTTTATTGTTTTTAATTAGTTTTTATAATTAAAATTATCACAATCCAAAACAAATAAACTGTTTTTACGAAATGTAAAGTGTCAAATTAGAGAGATTAATGCAATTTGCTAAACCAGAACCTAAGCCTGATGCACCCATTGCACCAATTTAATTGTTACTTTTTAAATATTGAAGAATACATATATCATTAAATAGTTAATTAGAAGGAAAAAATGAAGAAAAAATATGAAATAATATGATTAATTAATAATAATAGCAAAAGTTTAATATAAATGATGAGCTTAATTAACAAAAAAAAAAAAAAAAAGCATCACGATAATAAGAAAAAGAAAAAAGGGCTTTATTGTTTTTAATTAGTTTTTATAATTAAAATTATCACAATCCAAAACAAATAAACTGTTTTTACCCAAGGTAAAGTGTCAAATTAGAGAGATTAATGCAATTTGCTAAAGAAGAACCTAAGCCTGATGCACCTATTGCACCAATTTAATTTTCACTTTTTAAATATTGAAGAATACATATATCATTAAATAGTTAATTAGAAGGAAAAAATGAAGAAAAAATATTAAATAATAAGATTAATTAATAATAATAGCAAAAGTTTAATATATCGGTACATCCAAAAAGTTTTACTGATTCTATTAATTTTCAAAAAAATCGGTAAAACTTTTTGGAGGTACCTATAAATGATGAGCTTAATTAACAAAAAAAAAACAAAAAAAAGCAAGCACAATAAAAAGAAAAAGAAAAAATCCAAAACAAATAAACTGTTTTTACTAAAGGTAAAGTGTCAAATTTGAGAGATTAATGCATTTTGCTAAACAAGAACCTAGGCCTGATGCACCCATTGCACCAATTTAATTTTCACTTTTTAAATATTGAAGAATACATATATCATTAAATAGTTAATTAGAAGGAAAAAATGAAGAAAAAATATTAAATAATAAGATTAATTAATAATAATAGCAAAAGTTTAATATAAATGATGAGCTTAATTAACAAAAAAAAAAAAAAAAAGCATCACGATAATAAGAAAAAGAAAAAAGGGCTTTATTGTTTTTAATTAGTTTTTATAATTAAAATTATCACAATCCAAAACAAATAAACTGTTTTTACCCAAGGTAAAGTGTCAAATTAGAGAGATTAATGCAATTTGCTAAAGAAGAACCTAAGCCTGATGCACCCATTGCACCAATTTAATTGTTACTTTTTAAATATTGAAGTATAAATATATCATTAAATAGTTAATTAGAAGGAAAAAATGAAGAAAAAATATTAAATAATAAGATTAATTAATAATAATAGCAAAAGTTTAATATAAATGATGAGCTTAATTAACAAAAAAAAATAAAAAAAAGCATTACGATAATAAGAAAAAGAAAAAAGGGCTTTATTGTTTTTAATTAGTTTTTATAATTAAAAATATCGCAATCCAAAACAAATAAACTGATTTTACCTAAGCTTAAGTGTCAAATTAGAGAGATTAATGCAATTTGCTAAAGCAGAACCTAAGCCTGATGCACCCATTGCACCAATTTAATTTTCACTTTTTAAATATTGAAGAATACATATATCATTAAATAGTTAATTATAAGGAAAAAATGAAGAAAAAATATTAAATAATAAGATTAATTAATAATAATAGCAAAAGTTTAATATAAATGATGAGCTTAATTAACAAAAAAAAGCAAGCATGATAAAAAGAAAAAGAAAAAAGAATTTTAGATTTTTAATTAGTTTTTATAATTAAAATGATCACAATCCAAAATAAATAAACAGTTTTTACTAAAGTTGAAGTGTCAAATTTGAGAGATTAATGCATTTTGCTAAACCAGAACCTAGGCCTGATGCACCTTCATCACCAATTGAATTGTAACTTTTTAAATATTGAAGAAAAAATATATCATTAAATAGTTAATTAGAAGGAAAAAATGAAGAAAAAATATGAAATAATAAGATTAATTAAAAATAAAAGCAAAAGTTTAAAATAAATGATGAGCTTAATTAACAAATAAAAAACAAAAAAAAGCAAGCACGATAAAAAGAAAAAGAAATAAGAGTTTTATTGTTTTTAATTAGTTTTTATAATTAAAAATATCACAATCCAAAACAAATAAACTGTTTTTACCTAAGGCCAAGTGTCAAAATTGAGAGATTAATGCATTTTGCAAAAGCTGAACCCAAGCATGATGCAACTTCATCACCAATTTTATTAGAGCTTCTTAAATATTGAAGAAAAAAAATATCATTAAATAGAGTAAGTTGCCATACAAATTTACAAAAAGCGAGTTTTATATACCAGTTTTTATATTTAAAAAAATTAAAATTTTAAATTTTTTTATGTGTTTTTTTCCATCCTAGGATTTCAAAATTTAAATTTTTCAAATATAATGATATGTCATAAGAATATATGGTATATATAATTTCAAATTTTACATTTTCAGAATTTAAAGCTTTCTATAAGCTCAAAAATAAAGCTATTTAAGGCTAATTTAGCTTTATATAAATTATTAAGATATATTAAATTTCGCCTTTTATTCATTAAATAGGCATTTCACTCTGGTTAATTAGGTGGGTAAAATGAAGAAAAAATATGAAATAATAAGATTAATTAATAATAAATAAAATTAACAAAGAATCAAAAAATAAGAAATTATAATAAAAAGAAAAAGGAAAACAAATTAAATAAATTAAAAGAGCTTTAATGTTTTAAATTAACTTTTATAATTAAAAATATTACAATGCAAAAAAAATAAAATGCTTTTATTAATTTTATTAAGTATAATTTAATATCAAAAAATGAAGATAATTATCAAATAATAAAAAATGAATAATAAATAATTAATTAAAAATTGAAATGAAAATTAAGTTAAAATAGCTAAAAAATTTTTGTTATTATAAAAATCATTAAGTAATGATGATAGTTTCTATAATAAAAATTATTTATTCAAATAAATTGAAAATTAAATATACAAAAAATATTAATAATAAAAAAAATAATATTTTTTAATTAAATATACCTCAGATCAATACAGAGAACTTAATGAGATAAAAGTGAAGAGCTTAAAAACTATTTTTATTAATTTATATAAATTTAAAGGATATTAATATAAAAATTAATAATTACTTCTTCTAATCTATAATATTCTTTAATCTATTATATCATTTATTTATTTTTCAAAAATATTGAATAGCAATTTATGAAATTTGATTAATTAATTATAAATGGATAAAAAGAACAAATAAATATAATAATTAATTAATTATCAAATATTAATTTATATTTTTGGTTTTATGAAGAGATCTCACAGAAAAATTAATTTAACATTCACTATTTAAACTTAATATTTGTATTTAAAACATATTCTTAAAAATATATATAGTAGGAATTAGAGATGGATGGTCAGTTATTTATATAGTCCTATTTGAAAAAATTCTAGTAGTTAAAAAGTTTTATTTTAAAATCATAATTTAATTGTTGAAGTTAATTTAACCCCCCTACCCCCTCCTACCACCTTTTAAATTTTGTATAAACGAAAAGATGAATATTAATTTTTTATAAATGATTTGTAAATAAGTTTTTTTAATTAAATTCAAATGTTATTATAATATAAAATTAATTAAATCTTTATTACTTTTAAATAAAAAAATAAAATATTTTTAAACTTTTTATTCCAAAAATTAAATTTATTTTTTTAAGATTTGAATTATTAATTTGATTTAATTAATTTACACATAGATAAATAGAATTAAACTATGATTTAATCATAAATAAAGTATAAAGCTTTGAATATATAAGCAAGTGAGTATTTTTATATTAATTTTTATATATATATATAAATTATTTGTCTTTTTAATTAGTTATGCATTTAAAAGATATTTGAAAGGATTGAAACATTATTTGAGAGGATGAATAGTAGTCTG